TAATGTTAATCTTCTTCTCATGCTCTTCGACCCTACTCTGTTCTTAGTTACTCTCCTTATATCAAAGAAGACATTTGGCATTTGTTTTTTAGGGATTGGCTAGCTTCACTTAGCATAATCTGCTCTAATGCCATCCATTTCCCTGCAAATTCTATGATTTTGTCATTTTTTAATGCAGAGTAATACTCCATTGTGTATAAATGCCACATTTTTTTTTATCCATTCGTCTATTGAAGGGCATCTGGGTTGGTTCCACAGTCTTGCTATTGTGAATTGTGCTGCTATGAACATCGATGTAGCAGTGTCGCTGTAGCATGCTCTTTTTAGGTCTTTAGGGAATAGACCAAGAAGGGGAATAGCTGGGTCAAATGGTGGCTCCATTCCCAGCTTTCCAAGAAATCTCCATACTGCTTTCCAAATTGGCTGTACCAATTTTCAGTCCCACCAGCAATGTACAAGTGTACCCTTTTCCCCACATCCTTGCCAGCACTTGTTGTTGTTTGACTTCATAATGGCTGCCAATCTTACTGGAGTGAGATGGTATCTTAGGGTGGTTTTGATTTGCATTTCTCTGACTGCTAGAGATGGTGAGCATTTTTTCATGTACTTGCTGATTGACTGTATGTCCTCCTCTGAGAAGTGTCTGTTCAGGTCCTTGGCCCATTTGTTGATTGGGTTGTTTGTTATCTTATTGTCTAATTTTTTGAGTTCTTTGTATACTCTGGATATTAGGGCTCTATCTGAAGTATGAGGAGTAAAGATTTGTTCCCAGGATGTAGGCTCCCTATTTACCTCTCTTATTGTTTCTTTTGCTGAGAAAAAACTTTTTAGTTTGAGTAAGTCCCATTTGTTGGTTCTAGGAACTGACTTCTTTAAGAAGACTCATAAAGCACAAGAAATGAAATCAAGAATCAACAAATGGGATGAATTCAAACTAAAAATCTTCACAGCAAAGGAAACAATCAAGAATGTGATTAGAGAGCCTACAAAATGGGAGAAAATTTTGCCACCTGCATCTCAGATAGAGAATTATTCTCCAGGATATATAAAGAACTCAAAAAACTCAACACCAAAAAACCAAATAACCCAATTAATAAATGGGCAAAGGCACTGAACAGACACTTCACAGAAGAAGAAATACAATTGGTCAACAAATATATGAAAAAATATTCAACATCTCTAGTAGTTAGAGAAATGAAAATTAAAACTACACTGAGATTTCCTCTCACTTCAGTAGGAATGGTTGTGGGAAGCCATCACACTATGTGACCAGCATTTTCCTTTTCTGATTGGTGAGGCTCTGTCAGTCACTTCCCATGATCTGGCCACATCAAAGTAGAGGGTGGCCCCCATCTTGAAAGTTGTAAAAATGTAGCAAAATGTGTCTTCATGCATAGGCATGCCTTCCTGCAGCCCCATGGGTCCTTCGTGATATTACACCTTTGCCCTGTTTGGGATAGAATGTTCCATGGAAATGCCCTTTGTGTGTCCCCTTCTCTTGCTCTGCCTTTGGGTGTGGCCTTCCTAGATGTCAGTCAACCTGCTGACAGCAGACATCATGAAGCTAGACTCAGACCCTTGAAACCTGACCCCTTGCCTCATTTGAATGGCTCCTCCTCCATGAAAAGGGGGTCAGCATGTGCTCTCTCTCTCTCTCTCTCTCTCTCTCTCTCTCTGGACCCTTGAGGTCAGAGGAGCCATCATAGGACCCTCAAAGAAAAATGTATTTCTGTCTCTTGTGTGATTATTTCATGCAGCCCCGTTCCCATGGAGTGACCCTGAGTGTTTTTGTTGCCAGGAATGCGACAAATGGAAATTATCAAGAATACAATAACAATAAATATTGGCAAGGATGTGGAGAAAAAGGTCTACTCATACATTGTAGGTAGGACTGCAAATTGGTGCAACCATTATACAAAGTGGTATGAAGATTCTTTAGAAACCTTAGAATGAAACCACCATTTGATCCAGTTATCCCACTCCTTGGCATATACACAAGGGACTTAAAATCAGCATTCTAAATCACATGGCACATCAGTGTTCATAGCAGCTCAATTCACAATAGCTAAGCTATGGAACCAACCTAGGTGCCTTTCAGCAGATGAATGGATAGAGAAGATATGATATATATATCATATATATATATATATGCATTGAAATATTACTCAGCCATAAAGAAAATGAAATTATGACATTTGCCAGTAAATGGATTGAACTGGAGAATATCATGCTAAATGAGATAAGCCAATCCCCCAAACCCAAAGCTGGAAGGTTTTCTCTGATATGTGGATGCTAATTCACAATAAGGGCCAGGGGGCTAAGGAAGAATAGATGTACTTTGGATTATACAGAGGGGAATGAATGGATGGGAGGGGATGTAGGGGTAGGAAAGATAGTAGAATAAATCAGACATTATTACCCTATGTGCATATATGATTACGTGACTGGTGTAACTCTGCATCATGTACAACCAGAAGAATGAGAATTGATACTCCATATATGTATAATGTATCAAAATACATTCTATTATCATGTACAGCTAGTAAGAACAATATATACATTATATATATATATAAAATAGAAAATGTCTGAAGCAAATATGGTAGCCAAAGTTTAAGATTTGAGAAAATTTTGCAAAGGGTATTTGGATGTTCTTTATCTTACTGTTTTTCTGTAATGTTTAATCTATATAGGTAATAATAAACCTATAGCCTTTGTCAATAAAAAAAAATCCTCTGAAAAACGCCCTTGACATGGCCTGAAACATGAATGATCATTGAGAAGAACAATATTTCACCAAGGAATGTCTCACTTTTATAGTCTGCTCTCCATGCTGTCTGCTCTTAGAGACAAGTCACTCAAAAACATCCTGTCAGCCCTGACCTCTCTTACCTGAGCAGACCACAGAGGCTGTGTTTCCATGGGCACAGGCAGGAACACCCAGGGCAGTCTCAGGACAATTCCACAAGAAGGACTCAGACCCTGAGCAGTGGAATTGGTCTCTCCAGATCTCATCTCCTCCTTCCACAAAGTATGCTCCCTTTGGGGTGGAGATGGCAACTCCACAGCCCAAATGACGGCAAACAACATTGGCATTGGCCATATTCCAGTGGGAGGCACAGAGTGTTCTCCAGCCTCCAGAGGTCTTCATCTCCACTTGGCCCTCACACTGAGAGCTGCCATTTTTCATGAGCCTGACTTCTGTGTACTCTGGCAGGAGAAGACAGGATTTCAGTAACATCTCACGTTTGTTACCACATCAGAGTGTGCAAAAAGGTTAAAGTCCTGATGTGGGTCTCACCTGAGCAGACAACTTGCACAGCCCCTCTGTGTTGGCAGCTGCCTGCAGGACAGGGCACTCTGGGGCAGAACCAGAGCTCAGGCTCCCACCCCTTACACTGGAACTCTTCAGCCCAGACCTGTTCACTGGCCTCTCTGAGGGGCAGGTCCAAGAGAAAAGATGCTGCCTTGCCACACCCCAGCTCTGCACAGATGACCTGGGCAGTGGGCAATGTGAAATTCCCATAAGGTACTGGAATCCATCCTCCTCCAGAATTCACTTCCACTCGTCCAGAGCAAGGTCCACCTCCTCCATCCAACCGCACAAATCCTGTGGAAGAAAATAACCAGTACAATGAGTATCTTGGGGAGGCATCTGGCTACAGATATGGAATTGCAATGTGATAGTAAGTTAATGCCCTGAAGAAGGGAATTCTGTCTTTGTAAAATAACATGCTCAGTAATTTTTTTTTCAAAGTAAGTCATCAAAATGGAATTTACTCAGTATGGGTAAAGATGCCTCTGATCAGGAAAGAATAAAAATGCGGCAGAGAAGTCCTCAAAGGAGACACAATCTATACTTTCTGCCCAGGTCTGATATAGAAGAGAGGTTAAAAAGACAATATTGAGGGCATGCTTCTATATTTTCTTATTTACAATACTAACATCTTTTCAGAATTTGCCACGTTCCAGAAATGTTTCTAGGTGCTGCGTTTGTATATTTGAAGAGCTTTACATCTAGTTGGGAGAAGACCAGTTTTAAGTCATTTGAAGTTTGTGAGTCACTGAGTGGAAAAAGAAAGAAAAATTGCATCTGTAGAAATCTATTGATTCATAGGAATCATTCTCACTCGAGTAAATTAAAAATTGCAGTCATATATATCCTTGTCTGATCTTTTGCTCTATAGATATATTGCTTCCTTGGGCACGTTTCAAGCTTCTTATGAAAGTATCATCCAATGGACATTTTCTTCCTCTATTCTGACCTTCTCAATACCTGAGCTTTAAGTCACTCCTGCAAATCATTTTTCTCCTTTTGTGCCAGAGGGATATACAAAATTCACACAAATGGACACAGATTGCTCATCCCACACCAGGGTCTTAAGTGATGCTGAGGTAATTCTTAGGTGCTCTTTGTCAACCCACCAAGGCCATCCCTCAGATATTGTAAGCTTTTTCTATCTTCACAAAATTTTTTTCTCCATGTCCCATTCTTTTCAAACTTACCTGCCAATATACTCTTCTTGTATCATTGTTTCCATCAGATATAAATAATTTCCCCATATCATATCACCTTTATATTTTCCTTAGTTTTCAAATTTATTTTAAGTGATACCTAATGACATAGTGTACATATTAATGGAGTAAATTCATATTCTGATACATATATATGTTGCATTTATTTTCTCCTGAAAAACTTTTCATTTCTTTTTGGTGAAAGATTCCAATATGCTTTCTTCTAGCTTTTGAAATGTGGTTCATGATTGTTTTCTATAGTCATCCTCCTGTGCCACAGTGCACCAGAACTTATTATTCCTATTTAAGTAAAACCCATTATTCATTGATCAGTCTGTTGCCTTCCATTCCCATTCCCTATACTCTCTAGTCTATGGTAACCACAATTCTACTCTCAACATCTATGAGGTCAACTCTTACATATTTGACATACAGTGAGACTATAAGATACTTGTCTTTCTTTGCCTGACTTATTTCGCTTAACCTAGTGATCTCCTGACCCATGCATGTTATCTCAGGATTTATTTCATTTTTATGGCTAAATAGTATCCCATCGTATTTCACTTATTTATCCATTTATCAGCTGATGGGCATTTAGATTATTTCAATTTCTTAGCTACTATGAATAGTGCTGCCATAAACATGGGAGTCCAGATGTCTCTTCAACAGTGATTTCACTTCCTTTGGACATATGCTCAGCATTGGGATTGCTGTATCATATGGTAATTTGGTGGGGGGCAGGATGTCTGATAATGTCTTTGTACCTCCTTTATTTCTAAAGGATAGATTTTTCTGGATTCAGTATTCTTGATTGGTAGGTTTTTCTTCATTTCTCTGAAAATTTCATGGCACTCACTTCTGACCTATATGTTTACCATTGAGAAGTCTGCCATCAGGTGAACTGGGACATCCTTATATGTTATTTGTTTGTTTTATTTTTTCTCTTGATGTCTGAGAGTCTTTATCTTTTACCTTTGACAGCTGTATTATAATAGATAGAGATAAGAACCTGAGGCTCCCAATCACAACTGCCCAACTAATTTTTCACCTTCAAGCAGAGACAACTAACTATCTTCTTATTGTGCTACCAGGGGTTGAGGAGGAATGAGGTGGGAAGTCCTGTGGCCAATAATGGTGCAATGGTATATCACACCTTGAAGCCACAGCCTGCTGAGGCAACACAGAAGTGGGGAGGGACCAAGGCCCTCAGTGCTATGAGCTGCCTACTGCTAAGGTGGACTTAAGGCTCCAGACTCCTGCAACCAGCCACAGGTGCTGCAGGCTCTTCTTGAGTCTGTCTCACCAGCACACAGGTCTTGCTCAGTTACTTCTAGTCTATGTCTGAGGCCTCTAATACCTACTCAGTGCCGGGTATTATCATGGTAGGCCTGGCACTGAACTCCAAGACAAAGTGCTGTGCCAGCACTGTGCCCTGATCCTTAGAAAGTCTTGCTTTCCCCTCTTCTGCTAGAGATTGGAGGACTGGTGGTAGAGACAGTCTCTTTGCTGCCCAACAAAATACAGTGCCAGAGTCTCAATGTGAGGTTATTGGCATGGGGACAGGGTTGTTGGGCACCAGGTTTTACTGTGGAAGGCCTAGTTCTGGGTTTCAAGTCTAAGGTCTGGGCTTAATTCCCTTTTCATTCTTCAAGAATGCATTTTTCTTTATGCTAGGTTGCTTGAGGTTGGGGAAAGGGCAATTCTGATCTTTCTTCCTCATTCATGTGTCTTTTCTTTTTACCATAGTAAAAGCAGGCTCTCACCTAGTCTATTGTCTCTTATGAAGCCAGTTTGGTGTGTAAATAACAGTTAATGTGGTGTATTTGTGGGAGATCACGGAACAACCATCCTGGTCTGAGTCCTAAACTACCAAAACATTTTACCATAATAAATATGCATTAATATTTTATTGCATTCAACATTAATTTGCCAACACAGGGTTAAATTTATCTCCTAAGTATATAGATGTTGCTTTGGAAAAGAAATGTAGAGAGAATCTATTGTAGTAATAATGGAAGAAAAATCTGTGACTCAGCATTTCACTCACAGTTCTCTGGACTTTCCTGCCAATGAGCTGAGAATTGTGATGTCTGAATCTGGAAAGAATTTCCAAGTTTGCAGTAATCCATAAATTCCCCTGTAATGTATTTAATCCCATCCCTGTACCCATACTCCTACTAACCCAGTGCAAAAAATCTCAATTCAACTGAAAAAAGCAAGACTCATTCTTGTCTATCCTTTGAAAAGGGGATATTCGTGGTAATTTATGGAGATGATTTTAAGTGGAATGATTCTACAAAACCAAAACCTATCTTTTCAAGTATGGCTGTGGAGAAGGGAAAGGACAATATTTGAGGTTTACAAGAAATAATTAAATGAAGCCCATTAGCCATTGTTACTTCAAGCACCCAGTGTCCATGGGGACCTCTTAGTCCAATGTCTCTTATTTCCCCAGGATCAGATATACACTTTTGGTCATTTTCATTTTCTTAGGCAGTGGAGAATATGCAGAGTGGGAGGCCGAACTAGCACATGACTGTGTCTGACTCCCCTGCTGCCCGGTGTGGCAACTGGAAGTCATGCTGTGATCTGGATAGCCCCGGTCTTCTAGGGTGCGAGCGACTGTGTCTTCATGCATGGGCATGCTTTCCTACATTCCCGTGGGTGGAGCTATGATCACCTGTTCCTTTGTAATATTACCTCTTGCCCTGTTTGGGATAAGAATGTTCCATGGAACTGCCCTTTATGTGTCCCCTTCTCTTACTGTGCCCTTGGGTGTGGCCTTCCTAGATATCAGTCAAACTGCTGACAGTGGACATCATGAAGCTAGATTCAGCCCCTTGTAACTTGACCCCTTGCCTCATTTGAATGGCTTCTCCTCAATAAAAAGGGTCAGCACATGTGGGCTCTCTCTCTCTGTCTCTCTCTCTCTGAACCCTTAAGGTCAGAGGAGCTGTCACAGCACCCCCAAAGAAAAAGGTATTTCTGTCTCTTGTGTGGTTATTTCGCACAGCCCAATTAGCCCAGTGATCCCTGAGTGTTTTAGCCATGAGCAACCAGGCAAATGGTGTCCTTGGGTGGGCAAAAAGGTCTGAGTGTTTAAGTCACCGGGAAAGTGGCAATGCAGACCATACCTGAGCAGATGACACCTGCGTCCCTCACATGCAAGCAGTAGTGCTGCCTCCCAGTAGGGCACTTCCACACTTGGTCCTCCTCTCCTGTGCACTTCAGCTCATCCAGCCAGATGGGCCCTGATCCCTCCCCAAATTGTGCATAGTCCATGGCATCAAGGGCCACTCCACAGCCCATTTGTCTGCACACCACGTGGGCATCATTCAGGTCCCAACCCTGATCACAGATAGTGCCCCAGGAATTCTTCTGAAAGATCTCCACTCTGCCTGCACAGCGACTGCCCCCATCCACCAGGCGGACTTGTGGAGTCCCTGAGGAGAAAGAATCATGTCAATGCTTGTATTTACAAAGTAAATGAGAAGAGTATTCTTATTTTGTGGTACTCCCTCCCTCAACCAATCAGTTGATAGAATTTGCTTTACGATTGCAGAACTTGCTGTGTAAGATATGGAGATGTTTATACCAGGGCAGCAGTTAAGTTTCAATTCCTACCAAAATAAGTAGGAGAATTAATTGTGTAAAGAACAAGAAATGAGATTAAATACAATATAATCTAGTTAGATGTCTCAGGTAGCAGTTATTAGGTAGTTGATATCATAGATAAACTTATGATTTGTGGAATTCTTCATGGGATCTGATAACGCAATTCTAGAAATGTCAGGTTTCCTACCTTGAGTAGTTAAAAGTGTCTTTTTCTGAATGACTTCTAAAAGTCAATGGGCCAGCATCTGATTGGTTCTTATAGAGCACACACACACTTGAGTGCCAATGGCCTGAGATGTGGGAGAACCAGAGCACAGGGGATAGAGTACGGAACTGGGATGAGATCATCAGAAACCTCAGGTGACAGCCATGAATCCTGAAAGATGAGTGGACCATTGTTTGTCTCCAAATATTTCACCAATAATTCTAGGCTTCAGAGTTCAGATTGGACATGTAATGTCAAAATTTGACTCACTTTAGGTAGATTGAGCAAGTTTTCAAAAAAGATGATTCCAGATATCGACCTTCAGCTCCAGTTGGAATCATAGAATGTTACTTTTTTACCCAAAATTATCCTTCAGGAGTTGTTAATATTCAAAAAGAGGCATTTTTGGTATGGAGATAAATAGCATAAAAGAGGTACCTTTGTTGTGACTCTTTGAGTGAAAAAGATTAAGGAAAAAGGGATAGTAGTATTTTGAGAAAAGAAAAAGAGGAACTATAAAAATCTATTGATCAAACTATGTTTGATAAATCTAAACAGCATGGAGAAGCAGAAAGGCAGCCCAGAGAAAAGTACAAAGCAATTTACAACTTTATCTCTAGCTGCCTGGGTGAGGGAAGCAACCTGCAAGCATAAGGTAAGCTGGATAGTCCAGACAACCCAGATGGTGTCAGCACCAGCAGTCTTACCTGCTGTAGGAGAAACACATGGTTCTTACAAGCATTAGATCAAATTTGGGGAATTATTCTGAGAGAGAGAGTACTCTTGTACAACAAGATAGGAAGAGTGCCTGTCACAAACACCCTGAGAGCATTGCATTGCAGGGGAGGGATGGAGGTCTTATTAGTAAGTTGTCTCACCCTCTGTGGAGAAGAGTAATTCCAGTCGCATGTCATCTGACAATTCATGGCATTCCCATGTCGCCTCTCCAGGGATTACACTATTTTCCACAGGCTTTTCAGAGATTCACCATGGCTAGGACACTTCTCATACCCCAGTGGGCACCTTCTAGAGGCCCCTGAAGCATGTGTGTGCCTACTTATTGGGTCTGCAAACTGAAGGAAGGGCTGACTTGACCTTTGACATGCCTCCAGGTTTCCAGACAAAACACCTACAGGGATATTATGGCCTGTCTTGTCAACACTCCCAACCTCCTTGACAGGAAATGAGGAGCACAGTATAGCCAATCTATTGCCCCCAAATGCAGCATATTTGGTGGGAAAAGAAAGGAACTGCAATTGGTTTCTTTTGCAGTCAACTGACCCCCATATACCTGGTATATTTAAATGTTAGATGACCTGGAAAGGTGTCTCCAATGCAAATACTTTGGCTGGGAGAAATTTTTGACATAAATTTTTCTTCATGCTTTATTATATTTTCTTTACTATTATTTAATTAATTTGTTTTTTAATTCTTCAAATGGATTTTTCTTTTTCTTTCTCATTTTCCTCTCTCTCTCTCTCGTACTGGTGATTGAACCCAGATCACTTTAACTCTGAGCTACACCCCTTGCCCTTTCTAATTTTATTTATTTTTGCTTAGGCTGGTACTGAACTTATACTCTTCCTGTCTCAGGCTTCAGAGTCCCTAAGATTACAGGCAAGTGCCACTTGCCTGGTTAATGTCCCCCTGCCCCTTTTTTAATGTGACAAATATTTTTCTTCCTCTTTTTAAATTCCCCATCTTCTTTCCCTCTTATTTTCCATCCTTAATCTTTTTTTGAATTAATTTTCCTTTTACTAATTTTTTACTTTCTTGTTCATTCTATATTTGTTCTTCCCTTTATCTATTGTTAGTGCTGTTTTAGTTTTGTTGAGTGTAATTGATTATTATTGTATTTCTATAGCTGGTTTGTTTATTTATTTATTTATTTATTTTGGTACTAGGGATTGAACCTAGGGGAACATAACAATTGAACCACATCCCCAGCCCTTTTTTTTGTATTTTGAGACAGCCCTTTTTTAGTATTAGCAAGGCTTAGGGCCTTGCTAAGTTGCTGAGGATGGCTTTGAACTCGTAATCCTCCTGCTGCAGCCTCTTGAGCTGCTGGGATTAAGTGGCCATTTTGGATGGTCCATCAGAGGTTGGATCACAAATTTAAAGAGACTAGCAGGATAATTTAACATTATAACAAGACACAGTACTTGTCCATAATTTTATTTTTGTGTTGGTTACTTCCATTGTTTGCTTCTGAGTTATGCTGGTGTTCAAGTGAAGGACCTTGAACATGTTTGATGTGTGCTTTGCCATCGAGTTATAACTCCAGCCAATGTAGAGACATTGAATCTTACTAAAGCCGTGACCTAGTCCTGCTGAAGGGTTGGTGGATATTTCAACTTAATGAATAGGGAAGAGAGAAATCCACAGCTGATGAGCCACCAGCAAGTAGGCATAACTCCTGCTCCTGGACAGTCTCCAGCTTAACAACACTAGAGAAAAATAATTCAAATGTTGTGGAAAAAGTTCCTTGAATGACCTCAGCACAGGTTACTGCCATATCACTTCAGACCAAAATAAAAATAATATTGGGAAAATAACCACAGAGAGAATGTCCTACACACTGTGCTGTCTATAACAACACACCTAACTACCAGAAGGACCACATTTGTATGAGCACTACAGAGAAAGATGTGCTCTGACACAATACCTGGGGTTTCAAAACCCATTATTATCAACCAAAGAAGCTACAGAGAAACAACCTACAATGTCCACTTCAAATTAATTTCAACACTATAGGACACCTACACACTAAGGCACTTAATTAAGAGAAGGCTGCTTACTAAGAAGAACCTCATATGACAGATTTATAAACAGAAACACTAAAGGCAAGGAGGGAATGGAGTGATGTACTTAAGACCTTGAAAGAAAACAACTGTGAACTACATGACTGTGTACAGTAAAGTTATCCCTCAAAATCAAAGAAAATAAGTCATCTGAAGAACATATTAAAGGAATTTTGAACCACTGAACCTGCACTGTAGAAGGTTCTGTATCAATCCTACACACATAAGATTGTAGGAAGCAAGACAACCTAGCTACTGAGAGCATGGGAAGGAATAAATCTCATTAGAAGAGCAGATAAACAATTGAGAAGGAAGAAAGAATCAAACATTATCAATTCAGTAAATCATTAAAGCTCCAAAATGAATAGGGGAGAAGGACATGACCATAGATTATTCAAACTGTCCAGAAACAAAAACAGCAACAAAATGACAGGAACTACTACAAACCCTCATAATAACTCTGAGTGTAAGTGGTCTGATTCTCCAATTAAAAGATGCAGACTGGCTAACTGCATTAAAAATCAAGAGCTAACAACTTGCTGTCTGCAAGAAACTCACCAGAGAGGCAAAGACATATATAGACGGAGAAGAAAAGGATTGAAAATGATATTGCAAACAAATGGAACTTAACAGCAAACAGAAGTAGCTATATTCATATATGAAAAATACAATTTCAGAATTAGAAGAGACAAAGAAGGTCACTATGTATTAGTAAATGGAATAAACCATCAAGAAGATATAATAATTACAAATAAATATGTACCAGGTGGCACCCAACATGGTGGCAGGTGGGGAGGCAGTGCTTTCAGTACCTCCTCAAACACGGGGAGAGAGTGTCACATTAATATGTTCAGATTCTACCTGCTGAGAAACTTCTAGCAAAATTCCACTGAAGTGAGACCTGCTGGGGAATTTGTGGGATTATTGGAGGTGACAGTTTGCCCCAGATGAGTGAATCTCTGCCATGCGGCGCGGAGGTCCAGACCCACCACCCACCGCCACTGTGTGGCGACCAGCACAATAGGAGGCAGTTCACCAGGGCGCGGCATAGGGACCCTATGAAGAGGTTGCTAACCAAGCCTTCATGAAACAGTGAACCAGAACTGAAACCAACTGAGACTGGGTCAGACCAGAGACAGGCCAGACCCACACCTCCCTTCAGACACTCCGGCAAGGAGGCTGGGGCCCGCCATAGCAGAGAGATGACATCACCAGAGTTCGGCTGATGGGATCTATTCCCAGCAGAATCGGCTTTAGCAGGGGTGTGACTCCCACCCCCACCAGATACATACAACATTTCTAGGCATTGTCTCCAACCACAAAGGAGAGACCACAGAGATATACAAAACCAAAACAAATTTATAGGAGAAAACAGAAGCACAGCAGTTAAACAGAGTTGGAAAGTAATGTGAACACCATGAAAAAACAAGGGGAAAAAGGATTACAAACAATGCAGGAAAACTTAAATTTACAGGAGAACCTAGAGGCATCAGAAAAATGGACAGAGAAAGAACTCAAGGCATACCTGACTCAGATGGAATGGAATCTTAGAGAAGTCATTAGACAGCAAGTGCAAACAATGAAAGAATACTTTGAAAACAAATTACATAAGCAAATTCAAATAGCAAAAAATGAACTCTACCAGGAGATAGAGATTAAAAAAAAATCAAACAGTAATCCTAGAAATGCAGGAAACCATAAACCAAATGAAAAAACTCAAACTAGAATATTACAAATAGACTAGATCAAATAGAAGTCAGAATATCAGATAATGAAGACAAAGTTTATCAACTTGAATATAGTCAACACAGAAAGGATGGTA